AATTTCGTTTCGGTTGGAATTAATTCAGCGGCGAGCCGAGGCGAAGAGCTACGAAAATTATACAGGTATTTAAAATATACGTGCGCCGGAATATGGATAGCTCGTTTAAGTCGCGAGAGCAAACCGGCGCGCTGGCCTCTCACGCGTTCAACCTTTTGAATAAATGAAACCATAATTTACCGGCCATAAAACCGGCCGACCGATGCTAATATCCCGCGAATTAAAAACTTATTAAGACGAGTTCTCTCCGCGCGCGATTTCACGCCGCGAGATCCACATCTCCCCGCCGCTGGCCGGATCGATCAAGTCGGCCAGAGTTCATTTGTCAATCGTTCGTTGGAACTGCACGAGCGATTAGTTTAATTCTCCTCTTCCCTTGGAAATCCGTGTTGTAACAATTCGCCTCAAATACCGAGGGAAACTGATTTTCTGCTCTTCTGTGACGACGATTAGAAGAGATCGAAGGCGTGACGAATTTCGTTGGAAAAGCAGAGAAGAAAATGATCTTTGAATTTTGAACTATCGAAATCAAGGAAGTAAGTTTCACGCGAATTCGTATTTTTTTTTTTTTTTTTAATATCTCAGAAAATAAACAAAGATTTGATTATACCAACAAATATTGTAAATGCAAAAAAGTCAAATGATTGACCAATGAAATTATAATTGAAAGTTGAAAATCAGAAACACTGAGAAATTTATGAACCGACGAATAAAGAAGGAGTGAAATTTTAACATTTAATTACATAAATTTTAAGATCGTTAATTACAAAATATAAATTAATAATTGAAGAGTAAAGTTCTCGATATAATTTCGGTTCTTTTTCTCCTTTATTCAGAAATTACAATTGAAAATCAATGTCATCGTGAAACTTAGAGTTCGACATATGAATTTCAATTAAATGTTTCATGGATGATTCAATTAAACATAGTACTAGTGATCATTTAGCATAAATGTTTACTTTGATTATAGTATATCATAAATACAGAATCTATGAATATTAATTATTCAATCAATTACTGTCTTTGACACGGTTCTAAATGGATAAATAACCACGTTATTTATATTTCGAATGACGCGTCCAAACAGACGATAGATTTGTAATTTTTAATTTTTCGAGGAGCTTCACAGGAAAAGGGGGACAAATTAGCAAATTTTTCAACGTTCTTTCACATGCTCCTACGTGCGCTCCTTTTATCATTAGCTACGTCACATTGCAAATTGAAGTAATATTTCTGAGATTTTATATTTACTTTATGAGAAAATGCGAAGTTGTTACATGTATGTTGAAAAATAAATAATTCCCCACCCTTCAATTTAAAACTACCCTCTGATAACAGAACCTAAAGATTAATTACTTGTTCGAAGAGTTTCACAATATATTTTTTAGAGAACTAAACAATACAGAAATAGAATACTATACTAATACTAATAAAATAGAATACTACAGAAGTAGAGAATATGTAATGATGTTTCTATTATAATATTACTGCATAATCAAAGGCGTTTCCTCTTTTTATCCACACTCTCCGATAACCGTATTTCTTCGCTTATTTTTAGTAATTAAAAACAATATCTGGCTCCGTTCTGAAATTGCGCGGCTAACGAACGCGTGCATGAGATTTTATTACTCGCTCCTATTTCGCTTCCTCGTTGCTTAACCCGGACGATATGCATGAATGAAAAATTTAATGGTTTAACCTAAAGCGATTATTAAGAATTCCTCCACATGCAAATGCACGGTAATTAGTTACGAGTGAACACGGACGAAGATACAACCGTACCAGCTGTCTCGAACTTTGCAAACTTGCTTGCCGCGTTTTGTTTGCACTGTTAGCTATGACTATGAATTATCTTAGGTAATACTCTGTTCCGTGCTTTGCTTGGAATAATGTACAACGAACTCGCGAGGTATTGATTATTTTACCAGGGAAAGAAGTTTTTCTTAATTACTTAATATTATAATCTTCGTACAGCCTCGGTGTTTTTTTTTTTTTTTTTT